CCCCCCCGCACTGAGGGCCCTACCTTTCTGGGGTCCTTCCTGTCCTTGGCGCGGCCGGTGTCCTTCCGAGGGCTCAGCGGGCCACCCTTGCCGCAGCGGCTGGGCTTGGTGGCCGCGGGCGCCGCGCTGCTGGGCGCCGGAGCCGCGGCCGAGGCGTCGTGCAGGAAGATGCGCTCGCTGCGCCGCCTCGTCCACAGGTCGTCGTCGCTGGCCTCAGGCCCCGCCTCGAAGCCAGGCTCCTTGGCGCCCCGTAGCTTGCGGGCCTTGCGCCCTTTCTCCACCGCCAGCTTGGCCTTGTCGGGGCCGGCGGGGCCGGGGCCCCGGGTGCTGGGTGCGGGCGCGGCCAGGGAGGGGCCCGGCTCCCCCAGTCCCTTCTTGGGCCGCAGCAGCCCGGCAGGCGACCGCTTCCGCACCTTGACCTCACTCTCCGAGTCCGTGTACTCAAACTCCGTGCCTGGATGAGGACAAGGGCAGGGGCTGTGGACGGGGGCTCCTGGGACCCTTGCTTCCCACCCACCCAGATGCCCTGGCCACCAGCAGAAGGCCACCGTCCCACCCTTCCTCCAGGGCACCTCGCTGCCCATGGGAGGCTTCTTGTATCCAGGAGAGGAACAGGGGCCCAGAGAAGGAAGACTCACCTGCCACACACCTGTGAGTGGCAGGTCCTGCTGGCCCCGCTGCTGTCCCAAACCCCCCTTGGCTGCCCAGACTCAACTCCCTAGGAATGTGACAATCCCTGCCCGGGGCCCCCATGAGCTTCCCCACTGCCTCCTGTATGCCCAGTGGGAATCCCAGAAGCCAGGGCAGGCTGGGGAGGGCCCGAGGCCCCGCAGGGGCAGCAGGTCCACGGGAGGCATGTGGAAAGCCCGTGTGAAATCCCCAAGTTGGGTGGGGCCTCTCCTCTACTTCCTGGTGCCTCTTCTCAAGAGCTGGAAGGTCCCTGGCACCCGCTCCTCTTCTAGAGGGCAGGCCTCACCAAACTCAAAGCCCTGGGGCCCAGCTGCCTCCTGTCAGCCGAGGCTCTCCCTTCCGGCAGACACGAGGCCAGCCTTGATCCCAACTCTCGAGCCCCTGGGCTCCCTGAACACAGACCCTCTCCCCAACACCCCGCTGTGCTCTGTCCCTTCCAACCTCCAGGCCTTTGCTGCTGCTGGTCCCTCTACCTGGGGCACCACTTCTCCCCTGACCTCGACCTGGAAATCCACGGCCTCCTAGCGGAGAAGACACACTGAGCACCCGGGAAGATCCTCTGTCCACACCTCCATCACCGCAGGCACACACCCCACCGGAGGGGGCTCCCATCCATGTCTGTCTATCCGGTCCCGCCCTGTGCCCCGGAAGCAGATCCCCAGTTTTACTACCGCAGGCCTGATGACCCCTGGGAAGCCGACAGCCTGCCCACAAGGCCTCCTCGAGGAGGCCGGGTCCCATCGCCCAACAGATGCAGCCAGGCTGGGAGGGGGCACACTCCGTGGGAGGGACCCACTTGCAAAGCTTAATGATCCCATTAATTAAGCTTTTGTTAACGGACTTCCCACCGCACAGGGAGGCAGCTGGGGGCTCTCATGGCTGATGATCAGGGTGCAGGCCATAAAAGGCTGGGGTTCTGCTGCCGGGTTTGACCCACCTGATGACAGCCCCCTGCAGAAAGCCGGAAGGAAACCCCCAGGCAGCGAAACGCTACAGGTGAGCTGCATAGGGAGCAGGGCCAGAAAATGGACAGAGCAGCGACGGGCAGCAGACACTTTCAAGTGTGGAGTAAGGTCGGCCCGGGGGACAAATACTTATGAGGCCAGTGGAGCAGCATGAATGGTGCCTGGGACACAGGAAACGGGCTCTGTGAGGGGACAGGCCTGTCCTCGAGTGGGGACACGCAGGAAGCCCAGAGAGAGGGGAGGACGTGCCAAGCCCTCACCGCCCACAGGGCCGCCGCAGGGAGCAGAGTCCGTGTCTGTGATGCCCACCCAGTGTCCTGTGCTCCTGCCTCCGCCCCCAAGAAATACGGTAACAAAGGAGGAACAGACAACAAAAAGCACAAAAAATATAAAACATAAGGGTGAGACCCAAAGAGATTGCAAGTCAAAGGATGGAAAAGATAACCCATCCAAACACTAACCAAAAAGAGCTGAATAAGCATAAATATAAACATCAGACAAAACTGACCTTCCTTAAGACAAAACTTGTTACTAGAGACAAAGGCTATATTTACATAATAAATGGTCAACTCACTGGGAAGATATAACAATTCACAAACATACATGAGCATAATCCAGAAATAGGTAAAAAAGATTATACGCTATGACCAAGGGGGATTTATTCCAGGAATACAAGGTTGGTTCGACGTGTAAGAAAATTAACGTGAGGGTGCCTGGGTGGCTCAGTCAGTTGAGCGTTTGACGCTTGGTTACGGCTCACGTCACGCTCTCACGGTTCACAGGTTCAAGCCCCATGACCAGCTCTGTGCTGACAATGTGAAGCCTCCCTGGGAATCTGTCTCTCCCTCTTTCTCTCTGTCCCCTCCCCTGCTCACTCACCCTCTCACTCTCTCAAAAATAAATAAATATTTTTTAAAAATCAGTGTAATAGGGGCGCCTGGGTGGCTCAGTTGGTTAAGCGGCCGACTTCAGCTCAGGTCACGATCTCGCGGTCCGTGAGTTCGAGCCCCGCATCGGGCTCTGGGCTGATGGCTCAGAGCCTGGAGCCTGCTTCCGATTCTGTCTCCCTCTCTCTCTGCCCCTCCCCCGTTCATGCTCTGTCTCTATCTCAAAAATAAATAAAACGTTAAAAAAAAAAATTAAAAATAAAATAAAATAAAAAAATAAAAAAAGATCAGTGTAATATACTGTGATAAAGGACAAAAACTACAGGAATACCTCCATAGACGCAGAAGAAGTAACTGACCAAACCTAACACCCTTTCGTGATAAGATCACTCAAACTGGGAAAAGAAGGAAATTCCTTCCACCTGACAAAGACAGCCATAAAAAAGCCACCAGTAACATCATACCTAATGGTGGCAGAATGAATATTATCAACCCCTATGATCAGAAGACAAAGATACCTGTTCTTGCCACTTCCGTTCAACATTGTACAGAATATTGTAGCCAAGGCAATTAGGCTACAAAAAGAAAGAAAAGGTGTACCCATCCGCCGCTCTATTTGCAGATGACATGATCCTGTATTATAGAAAACACTAAGGAATCTACTAAAAACCTATTAGAACGAACAAATGAGTTCAGCGAGGTCACAGGATACAAAATCAATATACAAAAACCACTAGCATTTCTATACACTGGCAGTGAACTCTCCAAAAATGAAAAGAATCCATTTACAATAGCATCAGAAAAACAAATACTTAAAACTAAGTTTAACAAAAGGAGTCCTAGAGTTGTACAGTGAAAATTATGAAATGTTGTTGACAAAAATTAAAGACACAAATAAGTGGAAACACATCCCATGTTCCTGGATTAAAAAACTTCCATTGTCGGGGTGCCTGGGTGGCTCAGTCGGTTAAGCGTCCGACTTCAGCCAGGTCACGATCTCGTGGTCCGTGAGTTCGAGCCCCGCATCAGGCTCTGGGCTGATGGCTCAGAGACTGGAGCCTGTTTCCGATTCTGTGTCTCCCTCTCTCTCTGCCCCTCCCCCGTTCATGCTCTGTCTCTCTCTGTCCCAAAAATAAATAAAAAACGTTGGAAAAAAAAAAAAAAAACTTCCATTGTCAAGATGCCAACGCTCCCCGATTTAGCACCAATCCTAATCAGAATCCCAGGTGGCTTTTTTGCAGCAATTCACAAGCTAATCCCAAAATCCCTATGGAATGCAAAGGACTCTGAGGCACCAAGGCAATCCTGAAAAAGGAGAACAAATATGGAGGACTCCTACTTCCCAATTTCAAAGCTTCCTACAATAATTCCTCCAGTAATCAAGACAGGATGCTACTGAGCTAAGAACAGACATAGAGATCAACGGACTAGAACTGAGGGTCCAGAAATAATCCTTCATATTTAGGTTCCGCTGATTTTTCACAAGGGCACCAGTGGGAAAAGAACGGACTTCTCAACACATAGGATACTGGGCCAAATGGATCTTCACATGCAAAGGCCCCTCCATCACTCCATACACAAAAAATCAGCTCAAAATGGATCACAGACCTAAATATAAGTCACAAACCATAAAACTCTTCAGTGAAAACAGGACTAAATCTCTGTGACCTTGGGTTAGGCAATACTTGTTTGCATAAACGCCCGAAGTGCAAGTGATCTCTCTAGACTTCGTGCAAATTGGAAACCGTTATTTCAAACAACCCAAGAGAATAAACAGACAACTTACAGAATGGGAGAAAACACTTGCGAAGCACAGTCAGAGTTACAGCCAGAATGTGCAAAGAGCTCGTAACAACAAAATGACAACCCGATTAAGAAATAGGGATTTAGGGGCGCCTGGGTGGCGCAGTCGGTTAAGCGTCCGACTTCAGCCAGGTCACGATCTCGCGGTCCGTGAGTTCGAGCCCCGCGTCGGGCTCTGGGCTGATGGCTCGGAGCCTGGAGCCTGTTTCCGATGCTGTGTCTCCCTCTCTCTCTGCCCCTCCCCCGTTCATGCTCTGTCTCTCTCTGTCCCAAAAATAAATAAA